TGTTTCTGAAAAATATGAATAATCAGGGGCGCCTGAGTGGCTCAGTTGGTTAAACGTCTGACTTTGGCTCAGGTCACGATCTCAAGGTTCATCAGTTTGAGTCCCACGTTGGAATCTGTGCAGACAGCTCAGAGCTGCTTCGAATTATCTGTCTCTCTGTCTCTCTCTCTTTGCCCCTCTGCTACTCACACGTGCATGCACAGTCACACACCCTCGCTCTCTCATAAATAAATAAACATTAAAAAATATGAAGAATCAAACTGCATTGTTTTCAAAAAACATTCTAAAAGCATAGATGTGCTTTGTTTGCGTTAAATAAGCATTGTTAGTAAGAAGCAAATAATTTGTACGGTAATTTTGCCTAAACTTCTGTTAATTGACTGCCATTCCAAAATTTATTAGAGAAACTTTGACAAGAAAAAATTAGTTTTTTTTTTAATTTTTAATGTTTTATTTATTTCTAGGAGACAGAGAGAGACAGCGTGAGCAGCGGAGGGTCAGAGAGAGAGGGAGTCACAGACTGAAACAGGCTCCAGGCTCTGAGCTGGCAGTCAGCACAGAGCCCGACGCGGGGCTCGAACCCACAAACCGCGAGATCATGACCTAAGCGAAAGTCGGACGCTTAACCAACTAAGCCACCCAGGCGCCCCGAAAAAATTAGTTTTAAACCATGAAGTACTACGGGGTACCTGGGTGGCTCAGTCAGTTAAGTCTCTGACTTCGGCTCAGGTCATGATCTCATGTTTCGTGAGTTCAAGCCCCACGTCAGGTTCTATGTTGACAGCTCAGAGACTGGAGACTTTCAGATTCTGTGTCTCCCTCTCTCTCTGCCCCTCCCCCACTAGCGCTCTGTCTGTCTCTCTCCCTTTTTCTCAAAAATAAACATTAAATAAGTAAATAAAAATAAAGTATAAGAAAACCATGAAGTACTATATTAATACAAAATATTATACTTTTCAACATTTAAAGGAATTACTATAAAGTGATTTCATAGACTTAGTTTACTTAAATGAGCAAAGCTATAAATGAGAAAATATGAACGAAAAATGTTTGCCTTCAAAGAGAGAAAGGATGGAAACATAGAAAGGAGAAGAGATCCCTCATTTTCAGTTTTTTGTTCACCACTTGGTGTGTGGTCCTTCAGGGGATAGGACCAATAGTCTCTTTATTTGTAAGAATATTAGAATAAAATACAAGGAATTAAGAAAAACACTGTGGTGTGAAAATTGGATTAAAAATTTTATATAAGCCCATGATTAAATAGCGTATTAGTTATCTATTGCTACATGATATTACCACAAGTTTAGACGCTTAATACAAGTTACATTTATTATCTCACACTTTCTGTGAGTCGAAATTCTGGGCATGGCTTAGCTAAATGCTGCGCCATTGGGACTCGCAAAGGCTCAATCAAGGCATCAGTCAAGGCTGTGCTAGCATCTGCTCCCAGACTCGGTGGTTCTGGGCAGTTTTTCCTTCCTTGCAGGCTGCTGGACTGAGGGGCTCAGTGTCTTGCTGGCTGTCAACCCAAGGCTGCCCTCAGTTCTTTGCCAAGTGGCCGTTGCCTGGCAGCTGGCTTCTTTACACTCAGCAAGGGAGATCGTCTCCTTGTGAAACTGACATTAGTCATACACACCTAATCACGTATATGTGTCATGTGCACGCTGTCATCTTTGCCATACACTGCTGACTACAAGCAAGTCATGGTTCCTCCCACATTCAGGAGGGGGAGCACACCGGGAGCAGGAACATCAGGAGGCAGGGATCATAGGGGCCATCCACAGTCTGTCTGCCTTGATATGTAAATTTTCCACCTCTGTGCATTGAAATGGCCTAAAAGCAATGTCACCCCAGTAATAATGAATACGTGTAGTGCTCAAGTTGTGGCCTCTGAAAACCATTCCTCATTAAAAGGCAGCTGGACCTTTTGGAGAAATAGCTTACTCCAAGGCTGGAACAGGGAGAATACGAGGAAATAGGGATTTTTTTGTTGTGCTAGAAATCAACAAAGTTCTTAAAGATCACTGGGGTTCTGTTCCACTGGCCATGGTCATGACATTTAGAGTCTTAGAAAGACTAATGGTGGTAATGAATTCAAACAGATGGACTCTATGAAAACTCATGATTTAATAATGATGTTCAAAGTAGAGAAAATCTGAAATTTTTTATTTATCATCATTTGAGGAAGCTATTAAATCAACTACTTACTATGAAAATTGATAATTAATGGCAAAAAAAAAATTAAGCACTTTAGCCTGCCTTTCCAGTAGAATTTATATTTCAGGTAACCAAATTTCCCCATAGATGAGGGAAAGCTTTATTTCACAGGTGAATGCTAATTAGTAGTAAATGTAGAAGAGATGATAGATTTTGAAAAACATCACAAACCTGAATGAAATTACCATGATAATTATCATTATAACACCGTATCAACAGATGTTAAAATGGTAAATGGAAACTGGGTTTGTTTGTTTTTTAAGATCTTATTTTTGAGTAATGTCTACACCCAACGTGGGGACTGAACTCACAACTCTGACATCAAGAGTCACGTGCTCTAACGACTGAGTCAGCCGGAGGCATTTTAAAATGCAAAAATAACAAGGATCACTTCCTAGTTTCAGGGCAAAAACATAACTGTAAAATAGAGGGATTGGGCAGTCGTCACCTTAATCCACTGGTCAGTCTTGACATCATTAATGGATTAATGGATTATGTGTTTTCTGATGCGATTCAATAAGAATACCCATCACCTATAGAGGATTCCAGCCAAAAACGTTTAGTAAAAATGTTACAGCAAATACAGGGGTTAAAAGAACAAACTAAATAGCACCAGAGATAGTAACTAAATGAACCAGAAGGCAGCACTTTCTTGAGAGCAACTATGGAACCATCCCTTCAACCATCCTTCAAAAGGACCTAATAATCATATGCTATGTGTGGCCCTCGAACAGATTCTGATATGAACCAAACAACTGTTAAGGGCATTTTTGTGTCCTTTGGGAAATTTTTATTATAGCTTAGATATTTGATGAAATGGACATATGGAGTTTGTAGACTTAAAAAAAAAAAAAGCAGGTTATGGGGCACCTGGGTGGCTCAGTCAGTTGTGTCCAACTTTGGCTCAAGTCATGATCTCACGGTTCACGAGTTTAAGCCCCACATCGGGCTCTGTGTTGACAGTTCAGGTCCTTGAGCCTGCTTCCAATTCTGTGTCTCCGTGTCTCCCTGCCCCTTCCCCACTTGTACTCTGTCTCTCTCTGTTTGTCTTTCTCTCAAAAATAAGTAAAACATTAAACAAATTTTAAAGCAGGTTATAAAATAGCACGTGATCCAACTGTGATCCATTTTTGCAAGAAGTACACACACATACACATACACACATATAATGGGACAGTAAAAGATCTGGAAGCAGTACAGGTACCAAGGTGCTAACAAGGTGGGGATTGGGAGTGGTGAGTGTTTGTGAGTTTCCTATTGTTGTTGCAACAAATTACCACACATTCATTGCCTAAAACACAAATTTCTTCTCTTACAGTTTTGTAGGTCAGAAGTATAAAGAGGCTTGTGGGACTAACACCAAGGTGTCTGCAGGGCCGATTCCTTTTGGAAGCTCTAGGAATGAATCCATTGCTTACATCTTTCAGTTTCTTGAGGCTGCTTGCATTCCTTGCTTCTGGTTGCATCACTCCAATATATGCTTATTATCACACCACCTTCTCTGTCTTCTGACCCTCCTGCTTCCCTTTTATAAGGACACTCGTGGGGACATTGGGCCCACTTGGTAATCCAGGACAATCTACCCACCTCAAGATCCTTAATTTAGTCACATCTGCAAAGTCCCTTTTACGGTAACATTTACAGTTTCCTGGGACTCGGTCGTGGACATCTTTGAGGGGGCCTTTCTGCCTACTACAGAATGTGATGCTTTTATTTTTATTTATATATTTTGTATTTTTTTAAGTTTATTTATTCTGAGAGAGAGAGCATTCACATGAATTCCTGCGAGTTGGGAGGAGCAGAGAGAGAGAGAGAGAGAGAGAGAATCCCAAGCAGGCTCCATGCCATCAGCAAGGAGACTGACACTGGGTTCATCTTGTAAACCATGAGATCAGGCACCCCTATATATTTCTGTATTTTTATATAATGTGGATGTATTACTTAAAATATATTAGTTAAAAGTAGAAAAACGTGGGGCGCCTGGGTGACTCAGTCAGTCCGACCCTTGGTTTCAGCTCAGGCCATGATCTCACCATTCATGAGATCAGGTCACACAAATGGCTCTGTGCCATCAGCGCTCGGGATTCTCTCTCTCTACCCCTCCCCTGCTTGTGCTCTCTCTCTCTCACTCAAAATAAACTTGAAAACAAGTAGAAAAATGTTCAAGTTTAATATCAAATGACATTAAATGTGGTTATTTATAGCCTTTATCTGGCTCCGTGCAAAGTTTGAGCTTCATATTCAGTTATTTTCTTACTTTGTATTTATATGAAATCTTAAAATTCAAATTCATAATTGTACATCACCAGCAATGGAAGCAAGTGTTTGGTAACTGGGTCAGAGACTTGTGTATGTTGGACTGAACGAGAATTCATAATTTGAGAAGTCATTTCTTCCGTTGAGTGTTGCCTGCAGATGCTACGTGAATGAGGTATCAGCCTCAGATTCTGCAAGGATGAATGTTTCACCTTAAGAGAGTGGGTCTCACGAGGGGCAGTGTCACCCAAGGGTCTACTTCAAAAACACGTGGGGCTCCTTGGCTTGTTGCTGTGACCTACACGAATCGCCTGGCCGGGATCTCCCGGCGGTTAGTTGGACAGAAGCCAAGAATGTCATATGTCATTCAGTACACATGACTTTCTTACAAGGATGAATTTTCCTACATCTTACATAATTTTCAAATGTCCCCTTAGACGTTCGTGTATATGAAAAACTCATTTGTCATTATCTGAACCTAAACCTGACCTTGTTTTACATTTTCTCTTTCTAAAATGTATTTTTTTTTAAGTATGGAATGCTTTTACAAATTTGCATGTCATTCTAGTGCAGGGGCTATGCTTGTCTTCTCTGTATAATGCCAATTCTAGTATATTGCTGCTGAAGTGAGCATAACTCAAAGTCTTTTTTTCATGGTTTTAATATCCTGGAATTTTCCAGGAATGGAACTACTGTGTAAATTGAAAGGAGTATGTGTTGTTTTGTTTGGAACTTTACCAAGAACGGCTTAATGGTTTAGAAAATCACACTAGTGACATCAACGCCATTTATGGGCTGCACTAGATATCTTCCATTTGTCCTTGCTGATTCACTCCACCCTCTCCACCTGCTCTGTGCCATGGGAAGGGACAGCATCAATGGGTTTCCTTGCCCTCCAACTTCTGGGTAGGTTCGCTCAGTGGAAAGCATGGGCAGGAAATCTGGAAGGTGAAAGGAGAGTGAGGTGTGCCACTTGTAATGACCATTAGGAAGTGAGTGTCATCTGATCCATGGAAACATAAAATTGGATGTGACAACCCTATTCCATTAGAAAATGGTAGCTCTAGGGGCGCCTGGGCGGCTCAGTCAGTTAAGCGTCCCACTTTGGCTCAGGTCATGATCTCAGGGCTCGTGAGTTCAAGTCCCGCGTTGGGCTCTGTGCCGACAGCTCAGAGCCTAGAACCTGCTTTGGATTCTGTGTCTGCCTCTCTCTCTGCCCCTCTCCTGCTAGCGTTCTGTCTCTGTCTCTCTTAAAAATAAACGTTAAAATGGGCGCCTGGGTGGCTTAGTCGGTTAAGCGTCCGACTTTCGCTTAGGTCATGATCTCGCGGTTCGTGGGTTTGAGCCCCGCGTCGGGCTCTGTGCTGACTGCCAGCTCAGAGCCTGGAGCCTGTTTCAGTCTGTGACTCCCTCTCTCTCTGACCCTCCCCTGCTCACACTGTCTCTCTCTCTCTCTCCTAGGAATAAATAAAACATTAAAAAAAATAAAAAACAATAAACGTTAAAAAAAAGAAAGAAGAAAATGGTAGCGCTATATAAACACGAGTGAGTCCAAGCTGCTCAGGAGGCACAAGCAAACTGCATGAAGACTGAGTTTTAAACTCCCATGGCACTTGCTCCCACTGATTTACTTCTCCCTTAACCCACAGTTACGACTTCCCAGAGAGTTCTCTATGACTGGTTATCAGGTAAAGCACAGGCCTGGTTTATACACAGTTTGCTGGTACCAACTGAAAAGTGGGTGCATTCTAGCCCCTAAAAGACAGTAGTGAAGGAAACTATTCCTAGGAGCAAAACTTTGGGCGTACCTCTCATTGTCCACTTCACGTGGAAGGATAGATAGCCCCTTTTCTGTCCGGGCACACTATTGCTGGAAGGTACTATCTGTCACAGCCCACACCACCACTGTTTGTGCTTGTTTGACGTGTCTGGAATGCAAGACCCAGACCGCCCTTTACCAGCGCCACTTCTCAGGGCTTCGTTTGTAGGGAACTGCCTTGAGGGATGAGGCGACAGCTCCTTCTGAACAAATGATGGGCTTGCTTTAAAAGATGTGAACTCCCCAAGGCCGCTTTTCCTCAGCTGCAACGCAAAAGTACGTTATGTACACAGCGAATCTATCCGGGCTCCTCTGCATGACCCATGTGGGATTCGGGGAGTGGGGAACCCACACAAATATGCAGATGGCTGCTGGCATCCAGGAAATGGTAACAGGCTAACTTGTTAGCCTGTAAATAGGAGAAAAATCTCAACCCCCAACTAATATTTATTATACACTTTGCAGTTAGTTTTCTAAGTCTTTTTGATAGTGTGTGATGTGTACCTGATTTTGCATTGAGGGATACAACTTGGAACTGTTCCTCTGTAGCGTTGGTCCCTCAGGGAAAAATTTTGTCACTTTTATGTTTGGCAAAAGTCCGCTGACAGAGGTGTCACTGCACATCTGTTGGAAAAAGCAAGTAAGTTTTAATGACTTCATAAAATTAATTGAAAAAGTTTCAATGGCGACAGTACTAAGGACTAGGGATGAACGGATTGCCAATATAATCAGCCAGAAATTCAGATATTGTCAGTTTTTGCTATTCACACTGTAGGATGGATAACATTCCATGCCAGTATTCCAACTGTTTATAATTCTATTTTGCCCTTTTCCTTTCCATAGTAAGTTTTAATTTTCCTAGGCCTGTCTTTATTTCTTTCAGTTCTAATTAATGGAATTTCAGTATTTGGTCTGGAAACCCACAGGCTGTCCTAATTGCTGGTGTAAGGAATCCCAGCACCAGAATAAGATTTTTCTGGTTTTTTAATATGTCCTTGAAAATGTTATTACTAATGAAAGGGTCTTGTAAGACATCTGTAACTCAGAACTTATGGCTTGTTCTGTGAACGTAACTTTGGCCTTAAAAAGCCTGTAATTCTTTTTGTTTGTATTACTTAATAATGTGTTTCCCTGGTAATGATATTTAAATTGCTACCCCCATGTCCTAAAAGCTATGCATACCTACGAGTTTTCTGTAATAGCCAAGTTAATGGAAAATTTATGTGCACACAAAAACTTGTATGCAAATGCTTACAATAGCTTTATTCATCAGAATCTGCCAGATGTCCTTTAACAGGTGAATGGATAAACAAACTGGTCCATGTACACAATGGAATGCTAGTCAGTGATAAGAAGGAAAGATCTACTAAGTCTCTGAATAACATGAATGAGTCCTTTTTGTAGTGGTAAAATATATGTAGCATAAACACGGATGAATTGTAAATGCACTTTGCCAAGTGTCGGAAGCCAGATTCTAAGATCCAGAAGTACTGCATAATGCCATTCATAAGACATTGTGGAAAAGGCAGAAGTAGAGGGAGATGTGGTAGTTTCCTATGACTGCTGTAAAAAATTACCACAAACTTGGTGGCTTACAACAACGCAAATGTATTCTCCCAGAGTTCTCGAGGCCAGAACTAAAAAATCCATTTCACTAGGCTAAAGTCAAGGTGTTGCAGGACTAGTTCCTTCTGGAGGATCTAAGGGACGATTTGTTTTCATGACTCTTCCGGCGTCTGGCGGCTGCCTGTATGACTTAGCTTGTGACTCCTTCCTCACATCACTGCAACCCCTTGCGTCCATCCTCACGTCTCCTCCTAACTTCTTTGTCTGTCTTGCTGCTCTCTTTTAAGGACCTTTGTGATTACATTTAGGCCTCACCTGGATAATCTCTCCCTCATGAAATTCTTAACTTAATCACATCTGTGAAGTCTCTTTTGCCATTCATGGGTTGCCGAGATCAGGACTTGGATATTTTTTCAGGTCATTATTCAGTCTACCACAGTACAGAAAGCAGAGCAGTCATTACCAGGGCTTGTAGAAGAGGGAAGGATTGAGTACAGGATGGCTTTTCCAAGGGTGGTGGTGGACTTAGGGCTCTACAGTTGTCAAAAACCCATGAGTTAAGCGTCTGACTCTTGAGGCTGCTTGGGATTCTCTCTCTCCCTCTCTCTCTGACCCTTCCTCCTTTCTCTCTCTCTCTCTCTCACACACACACACACACACACACACACACACTAAATAAATAAATAATGAATAAATAAAAACTCAAAAAAACCCACACAGAATGTTACATCACCAAGAATGAACTTTATTTACTCTTTGCAAAATTTTAAAAACCATTCTGTCAGTGATCCCAGAATGGAATGCAGACTGTGACAAAAGAATCTGATTGTATTAAAAATGGATGTCATAGGGGAGCCTGGGTGGCTCAATCGGTTAAGTGTCCGACTTCGACTCAGGTCCTGATCTTGCAGTTTGAGCCCCACGTTGGCCTCTGTGCTGACAGCTCTGAGCCTGGAGCCTCTTCGAATCCTATGTCTCTCTCTTTCTCTCTGCCCCTCCCTGCTTGTGCTCTCTCTCTTTCCCTCTCTAAAATAAATAAATATTTTTAAAGAATTTTTAAAAAATGGATGGCATAACTTCACTGAAGAAGGCAGGCGGGAAAGTTAAGTAACTTGGAAAAACTGTTTTTAAGCTTATGGACACAGAGGATAGATTGGTGGCCACCGGAGGAGACGGGTGAGGTCTGGGCAAAATGGGTGAAAGGAGGCAAACGTCTCCAGTTATAAAATAAAGAAGTCATGGGGATATAATGTACAGCATGGTGACTAGAGTTAATACCATATTACATATTTGAACGTTGCTAAGAGAGGGAGTCTTTAAAGTTCTCATCACAAGAAATATGTGTAGGGTGGCAGATGTTAACTGGACTTATTGTGGTGATCATTTTGCAGTATATACAAATGTCACATCATTATGTTGTACACCTGTAACTGATGTACTGTTGTATGTCAATTATACTTCAATTAAAAAAAAGAAAAAATGGTGTTTTGGCTAGGGAAGGGAAGACTAACAATAAAAAGAACTGTACATAAATGTACTGCAGTTAGTAGATAATATATAGAGATACAGATATGTATGTATACATAGGGTAGTATACTTAGGTACATTTCCTGGCTCTGGCTTCTGCAGTGGTCTAGGCAGTGAAACACCAGCAGCAAGGAGCACACATAGCCCCCAGATCTTTGTTTCTCAATACCATTCTCCAGTAAAAAGATTCAGCGCTCCTGAAAGAAATGGCTGATGGGTTGGGGCAGGGGAGATATGAGTGCAGGACATTTGGTAGGGCCACAAGAAGACTGTAGGAGCCTGCACCTGGCCTCTGCAGCCCCCTGCTGTGACTCGTTTACTGTCATGTCTATTCTGACTTCGGTGCTCTTGCTATAACATGTCCTTCCCCTGTAATAAACTCTTTACATTTGTAAGCCATGTCACTTTGGGTCCTGTGAATCTTCTTTAGCAATGGAACCCTGCTTACATGCCACTGTTACTACAGCTGTATATTCAAGCTTTTATAAATGCTGCATGGGCTCTAGGAAACAAAAATGGTATATTATCTACCATTCAATACATGTTTTTTTCCCAGGAATCTATTAAAACAAGAATTATTAATCATATTGTTAAGTGATCACTATCCTTCATATTTTGGCTTTATAAATTTCAGTGTCATTTTATTTTGTTTATTTTTTTAAGTTTATTTCAGAGAGAGAGAGAAAGAGAGCATGAGCAGGGGAGGGGAGAGAGAGAGGAG